AAAAAAAAAAAAAAAAAAAAGGTTGTTCTTTAGGAATTCAATGGGTAACAGTTTTAAGATGTAGCTTATGTTGATGAAGAAGTTCAATAATGTGGTCTTAATGTGTTGCTAACCGGAAAACTCATGAAAAACTAAATAACTTCTGACCAATTTAGATTTTTTTTTTACTCTTAAACACAAATTCGTTGAATTCAAAGAAACTCTCCTATGTAGAAAAATAAGTTTCATTAATTCAATACATTGCGAACAGGAAAAGAAGCGACGGTCCGAATTTTCGAAATCTCTCGAGAAACGTCTCCGTAAAATTACTTAGTCAAAAATTGACACTTAGCGGGTAATATCCGTATTTTTTCTAGTTCATCCACGTGTAAATCGTTCAGCTTTAATATTAGGGGACGGCGTAATAAAGGCTGAGTTTCCGAGCTCATTATGTCACCATTATACACCCTCTTTTATTTCCAAGTTTTTTATTACACTCGATATTCAATTTAGTGGGCATAAACGGTGGGAGTGCCTTGTTTTATGTGAAAGCGTTAAATTGTCGTCATTTTTTTGTTTTGTTGTCGTTGTTGTTGTTGTTGTTGAAAACGTGATTTATTTTATTCTGTAGGTAGGACATTGCACTAAGGGATTGTGCGGCATTTGTTTTGTTTTGTTTTATATAAAAACTACGCACCTTTCTTAATTATAACAAAGACCACTGTCTTGTCTGTCTTTTTACAATAAAATCGATCTATTTAGTATCTATCTATCAGAGATTTATGTAGATTTCACCACAACAATACACTATTAGGAAGGTCTAAGTTTACATACTTGAATTAATGAACGTGTAGTATACGTATAGGTGTCGTTGTGGACAAGTGTGACAATGCCACATATACACATACGTGACATAACGCCTTTTATCCCCGAAGGGGTAGGCAGAGGGGCACATTATGCCACTGTACAAAGTAGCACCCACTTTGCACTATTTATGTTATGAGTCCCATGAAGTAGAGGGTGAGCCTATTGTCATATGCCGGACACAATCCCAGACTCCGTACTACTACTCAGAATTTTTTTTTAATCCAGTAATACTTTGTCCGACCCGGAAATCTAACCCGAGACCCCTTGCTGCAGGCGTACTTGCAACCACTCGGCCAACGAGGCAGTCTATAAATTGGTAATTAATACAAAAGGTAATAAATATAAATTACCCCTAGGTATAACCTAGACGAACACACTATGACATTTTACAGGCAAAAAAATACTCACTCATCCTTCAATTACTTATTTTTCAAATAATCTAAATTTTCTACAGGTCTATCAACAGTAGTAACACACAATGAGACAGCTCGGCTCGCTGGTGACGCATCACAAACTTCTAGTGGCGTATTATTCGCTGCCGGTGGCTGTGCAGCGGCTGCGTTAGCGCTGCTGACTGCTGCAGCGGCTGCGGGCACTCTGTACAAGAGAGGCAGTAAAGCGAGGCACCATGATTCTATACAGTGAGTAGTATTATCTTTCATCATCAATAGGCTACTCCAATGGCACGCTACTGAGCTTGATCTTCAGCTCAACATATCCAAACACTACCATCCACTTCAAAATATCTCTACTCCACCCGCCCTATACTGGTGAACGCCCTACACTACGTTTGCCTAGTGAGAAATTTTATCGTTAGAAGATTAAAATTGTCTAATTTTTACAAATAATTAATGGGTAATTTTATAGACTTAGTTATAACAGTCGCATGAGCACCTAATGTAACTTGATAACATTTAGGTGTAGTGCGAATCCTTGTCTAAATCGTCAGGTCATATTCTTTTTTTTTTCTTCTTCTTTGACAAACGAATCTCCAAAACGGTCTTGTCGACTATACTGCCAGTGTTGAAGGTAATAGTCTATTTTATCAACTCGACAAGACCTTCTTGACAGACAATTGTGTTATGTGTATTATGTCAAAATTTGTTTCAAATAAAACTACTATTTCTGGAGTACCTAATTCATCATCAATCAACAAGTTAAGTGTGGGAGAGCCATGCTTCGGCACGAATGGGCCGGCTTGGCCGGAGTGATACCATGGCCTCACAGAAAACCGACGTTACGAACGCTTATGCCATAAAAAAACAACACACCGTTTAATAGATTAAACATACTAAGTACAACACCGTACTATGAACCTACATGAAACTAATTTATAAAACAGTAATAAATCATCAAGAATATAAAGTAATTACTTTGTTAATATTTATACGCATCAACAACATTTTAGCCTCTGATTTGTATTTAGCAAAATATACGGCTACGAAGTTTCGACTCAAATTATCTCACTTCCAAACTTTGTTCGAAGTTAATTCGCAAAGTTATGGAATAAAGTTGTTGTAATTTATTTAGCTTTACATAACAACAGTATCAACTCATAATATCAAATGGGATTATTTTATTTTTTGAGTTTAAAATTTCCCATCCCTATTACTAACAAGGCAATATAGACTTGGAAATCCTCCAGTCGACAAGACGTGAAATATTATCATTTATCTTCGGAGCTGCCGAGGACTTTGCAGGTTATCAATGCTCAAGCTCAAAACAGGAGTTGAAATAGAGTAATTTTTAAACAGTAAGAGTCCCCTACGTTCCCTCTCCTAGGAGTCTTTTGTTGATTTTACCGTTAAAAAAGCCGACATCGAATAACACTCAAATCGGCCGGTTATAATAAAGCAACCTGCAACAGTCCCTATTACTATACCTAAAGCTGATATAACTAATAAAATCTCACTTATGTATGTATAGTAGTTATATTTAATTTAGTGTATATATTATTCATTTGGTATGTAGGTATTGGTAGTATCATAATGTATGTATTGGTTTGATTATTATTGTCCACTAGACGACCCCCCTTTTTTCCAACTTCTGATTACTGGCTCCATCCAAAGGTTGTCTGTAAGAAATCGCATTCTGCGATAAGATCGCCCATTGTACACATTCTTTTTATGTTTATTTTTCTTTTATGTTTTATGGTGTACAATAAAGTGTAAAATAAATAAATAAAATATGATAATTATCAATTTTCAAACAAATGCTCTTTAAAATTGAGTTTATTTTCATTCGATGTTTTGATTTATAATTTTAATTTCACTTACTTCTTCTAGTTACAACACTTGTTATAAGCAGAAAAAATATGCGTCCCTCATAGAAGCATTTTCTAAACTAGGTTGCGGTCGGTGAGCGACATAATTCATTCATGGTTTCTCACCCACAAATTTGACGATAAGACATTAATTTTGTGAAACATGAATATATAACTACATAAACATAATTGTATGTTACATATTCATAATTATTTACATGAATATGTATGGTGTAATATGTTCTGAATACGGTTTTCCTGAAAACCGGAGCGGAAATTTTCTCACACGTTTTTCACAAGTCATGTTGTAGATACCATCTTTATAAAGTAACCAAGATAATTTATATGATAATTTTGAATTTATAAAAGAATTCTTGAGGCAATAAGTATAGTTCAAGGTATAAGTACATATTATAGTCGTTGACTTATTTACTATACTTATTTTCCTAATTATATTCGTTAATCCCCAATTATGAAAAATCCACAACTTTTGTTCGTATAAAAGTAATTTCTATACATCGGAAATAAGGTCTATAATGGAGTAAGTGGAGATCGGTTACTGGTGACCTTACTTTTTTGAAGCTCAAATGAAGGGATTTTTTTTAAAAATATTAGATTCTACTAGAATGCACCAATTCATCATTATACTGTACTTACTTTCAAAATCTTAGACAAAGTTAATTCTGTAAATATTTCGCCCTCCTTCAGAGTCGATGCTGGGTCGTATGTACCACAAAACCAAACAAAACAACAATTAGAAGAAAAAAAACAAAATAATTCAGCAAAAACTCAAAACTTTAAAGTCAAAGTCAAAGTCAAAGTCAAAGCATTTATTTCAATTAAACCATAGTTTGGTACTTTTGAAACGTCAACAAATACAAAATAAATAATAGTCTGTCAGTCAGTCCGTCAGTGAAGCTAGGTGAAGCTAGGTGCTCATTCCAAAACGTAGATTCGAATGGAGAAGAACGAGCAAGAAACTCCATTCGTTACTCTTTTAAAAACAGAATCTCATATTACAGTGCCGTATAAAATTCCATAAATCCGAATACTTTCCAAAAATAGGAAAAAAAGCAATAAGAAGCCAGAAATAAAGGCCTGTTAACCTTACACTTCAGCCAAGGGCCTGATGATGCCCTACAAAGTACGTAGTAATTGCTCTTGAAGAAGGAAGGAAAGCTAATCACATTATAGTCAAGAGGGAAATATTTTAAGAAGTTCACAGAGTTGTGTTCGTCCAAGTAAATTCAATAGACGGGCCGTTGAATAAAGTCGTTTAACTAGAAAAACAAACATTACCTTTGACTTAGAAGTTTGAGATTGGGTTTTGATGGAATCTATGGAAATATTTCTAGGGAAGACGGGAAATTGAATATTATTCTTTTTTAAGTATTTGCTTTTGACCGTGGTGGTCACTCTTCTAAGAAATAATTATTGAATACTATATTTAGGTAACCAATATCAGCTTAAGTATAAAAATAGTTTAAAATTTCCTATCTCCCGTGACGAAAATGTGATAGTTGTGGTTTTTAAATATTCCTAAAAATAGTGCTGGTCTATATACAGGGTGTCCAAGAACCTGGCGTCCAACTGGATTCCCACGATGCCCCAAGTTCTAACAGTACTCAGAAAAATATTTTAAAAAATCCACCCCATGTACTTACAGAATTATACTGATTTCAAAAAAAAAGGGGAAATGAGCACCCTGTGACATACTTTTGAATGCTGTGACTGCTAATGCTGATAATTTCGATATTTCTTGGAGGTTTTGTAATCTAGGGTATTGCTGTGTCTAAATAGAATGTAAAAATAAAGTACTTATTGTACCATTTTAAAATAAAATATTATTTTAACTAAAGGTGATATGGAAAACTATTGAATTTCGCAACTTTGACCGACTGTAGTGTAAAAAAATGTACCAAAATAGTATGGCAAGTGACGTCAAATTTTGACGCGTTTATTCCTCTTTTTAAAAAGGTATAATACTTACACATTAATTTGAAAAAAAAAAATTTTGATAATATTTTTACTCAACAACCCAATTTTTACGAAGTGCCTACCTACTAACGGTAACTGTCGGACCCTTTCTTATCTTAGAAACTGTTATGTTACTACTATTATTTACTTCGGTTCCAAGAGTGAGCAAGAAGGAAATACACACAGGTAGATGGGTTCCCAGTAGAATAAAAGCAAAGAATGTTAGTTTAAAGATATTTTATTACAATAAATGTTCAAAATGTTGACCACCCGCGGCAATACAAGCTCTCACTCTCCTTAAAAAGGACCGCTTTATGTTTCGCGAGTAACTTTTTTGACGTATCACCTGCACTGCTTGTGTTATCTTCTCACGAAGGTCAGCGATGTCATTAATGGGCTTCGCATAAACGAGCTCCTTCATAGTTCCCCAGAAAAAAAAATCCAGCGGATTTAAGTCAGGTGAGCGGGCTGGCCACGGGATTGTTCCTGATCGCCCAATCCACCTGTTCGGGTATTGCTCGTCCAAAAACTCTCTAACGGATACGCGAAAATGTGCTGGACAGCCGTCGTGTTGGAACCACATATCTGGTGGGGTCTCTTCTAGTAAGTTTGGCAAATCATTTTGAAGAAAATTTAAATATGATTCGCCAGTCAAATTCTCGGGCATCTCAAATGGACCAATAATATTCCCACAGAGAATACCGGTCCACATGTTCACTTTGAACCGGTACTGGGATCTATCTTCTCGCATCAAGTGCGGATTTTCCACATGCCACTCGTGCAAGTTGTGTAGGTTCATGTAGCCATCCTTCTTAAATGTTGATTCATCTGACCACAAAATTTTGTCGATAAAGTTTTCGTCTTCTCGATGTTTTTGCAGGATTGTTTCACAAAACGCGACTCGGCTCGGATAGTCTCGAGGTAAAAGACTTTGCACTCGCTGTACGTGGTACGGATGATATTCTTCTTTTTGGAGAATACTGTGTGCTGTGCTCTTCGGTATCCCCGTATCAGCTTCTATTCCTCGCACAGAGATGCTTGGATTTGCCGACACCGCCTCTAAAACTTCATCGCGTATGAAGTCATTTACGGGTCGTCCTTCACCAGCTACTTGATTGGGGAACCGCCCGTCACATAGTGATCTGTGCACATTAATGAAAACTCGATGGTCGGGATATCGCGTAGCCCTCGGATACCTTTCTCTGTAAAGTCTCGCTGCAGCTCGTCCATTACCTCTACATTCTCCATAAATGTAGTGCATATTTGCGTATTCTTGCGGAGTGTAGGTCGCCATGGTAGCACACACAAAACACAAACTGTCCAAACACAGGCAAAGGTCGTCGTAAAGAGTTCGTTTCAAAGTCCAGAGCACAAAGAGTAATCGAGTCCAATAAACAAAGC